GAGATGATCCGCCCATGTTTTTGAGTACACCAAAATGTCATCAAAGAATACTAACACAAACTTACGTAGGTACCTTTTAAAAATCGAGTTCATGGCAAACTAAAAGGTCGATGGTGCATTGCACAAGCCAAAAGGCATTAAGAGATATTCGTAGTGCCCCTGGTGCATGCGAAAAGCCGTTTTGGGCACGTCCTCCTTGGCCAACCTGATCTGATGGTAGCCCGCGCGCAAGTCGAGCTTGGAGAAGTAGCGCGCGCCACCCAACTCGTCCAGCATGTCGTCGACGCTCGGAATAGGAAAGCGATCCTTCACGGTAGCTGCATTGAGAGCGCGGTAGTCCGTGCAGAACCGCCACGTGGCGTCCTTCTTCTTTGCGAGTAGCACCGGTGATGAGAACGAGCTCGTGCTATGGTGGATGAGCCCGGACTCGAGCATCTCGCCCACTTGCCGCTCGATTTTTGACTTCTGAAAGTACGCGTACCTATAGGGATGCACGTGCACTGATCGACCCTCTTCGAGCAAAGGTATGCGGTGGTCGAACTCCCGGTGCGGCGGTAATCCCTTGGGCTCATCGAGGACCTGGTCAAACTTCTCGAGCAAGTCACGCACCTCGCGCTGCCTCTCCTCGACCACTTGGTCGAACTCCTCGAGCAAGTCACGTACCATGAGCTGCTTCTCCTCAACCACTTGGTCGAACTCCTCGACCATCTCCGCGTCCTTGCCTGTCTGCTCGACCACGACAGTGTACAACTGTCCGCCACCTCGCCACACCTTCTCGATGCTTTTTAGACCAACCTCCTTGGTTGCCCCTTCACTAGCCTTCAAAGTAACGAGCTGATCACCGGCCTCAAACTTCATCACACCTTTCCAGTAGTTAGTTGTCACATCTCCGAGTCCCTCGAGCCACTGCACCCCAAGCACCACATCCGGCCCCACCAAAGGCAAGGCAAATAAATCCGCCTTCACCGTCACTCCTTGAAACTTGATCGGCACGCCCCGGTACATCTCTGAGCACCGCAAGCGCTCGCCAATCGCCACCCTAACCTCGAACGACTCAATTGTGGTCATGGGCAACTTGAGTTTGTGTGAGAGAGTCGCATTAATGAAATTGTGCGACGACCCATTGTCCACGAGTACCGTAACCCGCCGATCCTTCAACCACGCCGGCAACTTCATAGTCCTTGGCCCTTTAGTGCCCGCCATCGCATGGACTGAGATCTCGGCCTTGTCATTGAGCACCTCGACCTCCACCTCCCGTTCTTCCTGCTGGAACACGCCGATGAGGCGGTCCTTCCCACGGATCGATATCGGATACCAAACACGTACATACTTGATTTCGAATAACCCTAGGCATGCTCCTAAAGGACGAACAGAGAATTACCTTGAA